CAGAATTTGACTTTTGTGCTAAACGTTTTGCACCGGTGTCAACAGGAAGTTGTAAAAATGTAAAAGATCCATCACTGGAACAACATTGTAATCTCCCCCACCACCTCCCTTTGACAAAGTGTGAACTACCATCAATCCATCCATGCATCCGTTATCCGAACGGGGTTCAAAAACAAGTTTATTAATTTACGTTCATTGACCAAATGTGAACGTTTTAAAAAATAACCTAAAATGAAATTAACTCACGGTTAAGAATTTATATATTTATATAAGATAAGAAAACCTTCATTAGTCTCACAATGGAGAAATTGCCAAATTCACAGCAGCAAAGTTACGAAAGGAAGAAGTAGAAGAACAAAATATAAGCTGCTGTAAAGCCACTCTCGCGGCGCCATCTTGAAGTCAAAATATTACAACACAACACATAAGACACAGTCATTCAATCTTAACCACTTTTCTGCATCCTCTTTGTTGTATGAAGCAGTTATAGATGAAAGAAGAGAGGATCAAAGTTATATATATATATAAAATTGTTTATTTTAACTGAGATTAATTGCTTGTTTTCTTATTCTTTAATACATGGGAAGAGGACCTTGGAAAATTGCAAGTACGATATTGAGGGTAAAAAAAATTCTGAATGAAATAATTTTTCAAAATTGTTTAGGCCCTGTTAAGAACCAGCTCCCATCCTGTGTGAAAAGCCCAGCTCTGCTATTGAGTCACCTCCCACTCGGCTGACTGTATGCATTGCCATATGTTCAACTTTGAGGAGAGCATATGACCTGCTAAGACTCTTAAGCGAGCAGCACAACAAGTATGAATAAGCTTTTGGAATTCAATCACACTTTCAACACAGGGTGGGGTGGGGGGGTGGCGGTGCCGAAAACTTCGAAGATGGAACCGTTTCCTTATCTCTTTTCTTGCGTCTTGAACTTGTTTGCGTCTGCATTCTTTTGTGTCAAGCTGGTCGTCTAATGAATGTGGTGACTTACGGGAAGAGCGTTTCCAGCAAGTTCTCTGCGGCCTTAATTTGAAGCCTTTTCACTGGAAGTGTGAGCGTGGAGGGGTCCTGCGGTGGGTGGGCGGGGGGGGGGCACTCTAAAAAGGGAATGGTGGGGGTTGTGGAGCATTGTGAGCTGAACTGAACAGCAGAGCCCTCCTTGAGCTGAATGGGCATTGTCATCTGGATTTCTGTGGATCACTAAAATACTTTCTCCCGCCGTGCATAGGGGGGAGGTTTATCCATGCACAGTGAATATGGGAAGTTTTTCATGTTAAGGGGATTTTTTTTGGTTTGTTTTTTGCTACATGAACACTCTTGATGAAAATTCCAGACAAATATAGTAAGTTTAATCTTCATAAAAAGGGAAACAATATTGCATCTTCTTATACATCAATCACTACATCAAACAAAGAAAGCAAACAATTCCAGGAACTTGAGAAATGAATTGAGCGTTCCTGCAGCGGTCACGATGCCAGCAGGTGCTTGGAATAACAGACAAAAACGTCCCAGTTATCAATCCCAGCACATCAACAATACAAAGTTACTTTTTTTATTTTTTTATTACGAGTGTGTCGAAAAAGTTCTAGGACTGGCGTCAGAAAAGATATATTTCAAACCCAATCAACAAGTTTTCCTCTTGGAAGTCATCCCTCTGGATACCAGCCTTCTCTGCCACACCTTCATCCGTTCGTTGGAGGATTCTTCAAGGATCCTCCGTCATCACCACCATTTTAATGTCATTCACATCTACAAAGCAGGTTTCTTTGATCTTAGAAAAGAGGAGTGAGTAGGGAGATTGCTCCAGCGTGGCCAGGACCTGTCCAAAGCTCGGGGTATCGTGAGAATTTATCTCTTCTCATGCACCGAATAAAACAAACACCACAAGGGGAAAAAAAAAATCCTAGTTTGAGTTTTAAATATATCTTTTTCAGTCCTGGAACTTTTCTGATTCATCTCTTATACATGTTTTAATGTCATCATTTATGGAGTGCAATATTTATCTCAATTACTGTACAGATTGGCAGGCAAAGCATATGTTGGAGTCAATGGCATGAGTTCGTCTACAAAAAAAAAAATAAAAAATCAATCATGAAAAAAAAAAACCTTACAAAAGCATGTACCGAACAAAGATGCTGTACTCCTTTTGTCGGTTGTAGTTTGAGGGTTCCAAAAGAAGAGAGGGTGGGGGTGGGGGGGGGGGGAGTGGGGTCCTGATAGGAAAAACATGGTCCAGCGAATTGAATGAGTCGAGAAAATAAAGGCAGGTGTTAAAAAAAAAAAGTCCGAGTGGGGCTACACATAATTCCGTTTGTCATAGTCCCCGTTAGGCGTGGCTCTCTTGGTGGGCGCGTATTTGACCGAGTATCCCGCGTTCCCGCCGGAGGGGCAAGAGCAGCACAGAACGGACCCCCCGATCAGCAGAAGCGCGGTGGCCGCCCAGCCGATGTAGAGCGCGGCGCCGATCTCCCGCTTCTTGGCGCCGGGCACCTGCGGGTTGTAGAAATCCGAAATGATGTTGTTGGCCATCCAGCACAGGGGCACCAGCACGAAGAACCCGCTGATGATGTAGATCACTCCGCCGGCGTTCACCACCCGCGCCTTGACGTATTCGTTGCGGATACAGTTGGTGCACTGCGCTCCGGCGATCACCACCATGAGCCCCAACACGCCCATCACCGACGAGATGATGGTGAGCGCCCGGGCAGCCTGCAGGTCGTGGCTGAGGGCGAGCACCGAGTCGTGCACCTTGCACTGCATCTGGCCAGTGCTCTGAACCACGCACGACATCCACAGGCCGTCCCAGATGGTTTGCGCCACCACGATGTTGGCCTCGATGAACGCGGTCACCTTCCACATGGGCAGCCCGCACGCCACCATCACCAGAAGAGAGCCGACCACGCACAGCGACAGTCCCAAAATCTCCAGCCCGGCAGACACCATGTTCGCTTTTTTTTTTCCCCCCAATCAGGTATGCGTCCAAAAACACTTGTCAAACTCTCTCTCTTCTTGCTTTCTCTTCGCTTTGAAGTCGTTTGTGTCTCTATAGTCGCTTCTTATTTGCGCATCTCTTTGCAGCGGCAGCGCTGTGTTCCTTTGTGCGAGTGTGAAAACAACTGGACTCGCAGCTACACCGGACCATCGATGTTTTTTTTTGTTTTTTTTTTTTTAATGCGGGGCGGGGATGTGTGAGAGTGGAAACTTCCCTCCAATCAGCTGCAGCCGCATCCCGGACGACCAATGGGAAGGCAGGGAAGTTGTGCGGATGAATCAAGCGGTCCAGCGCGCTTTGTGCGTTTGAACACTTATTTACAATTAGAGAAGGGGTGGGGGTGGGGTTGGGGACATGGAAGCGCTTCCAGCCGAAATGCACTGGTTTGCACTATCAAGGAGTTTTCGATTTTGTTTTTTTTAAAAGATGAATACACAGTAATATTATATAACTGTACATTTTTTTCACCTATAATAATGTAGGCTTTTTATGCGCAACAAGGACTGTATGAAGCATACGGTAATATCTTTTAGGGTGGGTCTGCTGATTGGTGGTTGTGACATCGAAAAACGTGAAAAGCACAACGGAACGTTTCAGATGAAATAGCAAAGTAACATCAATTCATCCATCTATTATCTGAACCCCTTATCAAGTCAAGTCAACTTTATTGTCAAATGTGCTACAGGTGCAACATACAGCACAGATGAAATTACATTCCTCAGGAGAGAGAGGAGCAGCTGTGGGTGCCCGCGCCGCCATCAAAAGAACACTTAACATAAAATGACAAAATAATACAGCACAACACATAAGACACAGACAGTCGTCTAATCTAACCACTTTTTCTGCATACACTTTGTTGTTTGAAACAGTTATAGATTAAAGGGGAGCGAATCAACGTGTCCTTTCACCAGTGGATCAAAGACGTCATGCTGAAAATATGCACACATCTGCTACAGGCTAAGTTATTTATCGTCGCAAGGGTCGTGTGCGTGCTGGAACCTATCCCAGCTGTCTTCGGGCAGTAGGCGGGGTACAACCCGGACCTCTGCACCAGTTGACCACCGTGATGCCCGGCAAAGAAACAGTTCAGATGAATGAATGAAGAGAATCAGCAACCGTCCGTGTCATCCTTGCATACAAGTGCATGAAATTATTTCTACAGAATCTACTTTTTAAAAACAACAAAGGGCGGCACAGCGGTTCACTGGTTAACACGTCCTCTATAGTGTATGGGTGTATGGAAAACAACCAAATGCAAGGGCATTAAATGCTTTCCACAGACACTCAATTATTAAAAACAGCCAAATATACCAAAGAACATTTTGAATGCATATTTTTAACACACAATGTCACTTATACTTAACTACAACTCAAAAATGTAATATAACTCAATAATCCCAAACTATTGAAAATACCTACCGATTTAACATAAAACGTGTTTTTACTTGACAGTTATTCCAAACTAACTACAATTCTAATAATGCAGTTTTAAAATTACATAGTTTTTCTACTATTTTGTTAGCTCTCATTAGAAATTTATTTTTTAAATTAAATAATTATGTTACTGGTAGCATTTTAAAGTTATCTCAAACGGGTTTTTTTTCCAATGTTATCTTAAGAACGTGTGATGAAATACACAAAAGCAATGAAATTGTGAACTAAAGTTGTGGAATGAAAAATACAATTGAAAGTAGTGAGGTAGGATCTCTCTACAAACATTTCCGCGCAAAACAGTTGAAATATGAAGCAAAACCGTCAACTTTGAACCAAGTATTACTATGTATACATAACATTGGTGTTTTGAGTGTACGTCGCCAACTGTCCGAAGAAATAATGGATAAGCACGAAAAGCTTGTATAGGACAGCCAAAGAAACTGTAACACCGCAGCCGCCATGTTAGATCAAAATTTGTACGCTGCGTTACGGACAGCAGAGCCATAATGGCGCCTGCAGTGACTCGCGAACACAGGCGGGGAGAAGGGTGGTCTTTTTGCGAGCGACTTCCGCGTCTCTTTTCCTGGGCTGGGACAGCGGCTTCTAACGAAACCTTCTTGTTCACTAACTTTATCTCAAAGTTCAGGTAAGTCGTGAATGCGGGTGCTTTCATGTGTGTATTTTGTTAACCAAGTGTGTGAAAGAGTTAGAAAAAAAAGAAAAAGGCAGGGTCACAGCAGAACTTGGCTGGCAACATGACAGCAACAGAAGAAACAACTGTTGCTGTTTTAAGTCGTTATGTTTCCACAATTACGTTTGTCGGGCGCTCATTCTGAGTGTAGTTAGTTGAAATATACCAAAAGACACTTTCCTGCACATTTTGAATGCTAATAATGAAAATTTTGATGTCTAGAACGTCCGTGTCTGTCCTGACAGTCAAACTGGGTGTGGTGGACACTCACTGTTCCATAGGCCATCACCATAGAGTGGTAAAGGCCTCTTCAATACGTAAATATACATGGTAACATGAGCCAAACCTCTTTAAAACCAAGTTCAATGTAATTATTACTTTGTGTTTGATTCACTTGTGACCAACCAGTCCAGGGTGTACACACACTAAGGACCAACAGTATGAAAAAAAGGACAAATGTTGTATGATATGCAATTGGCATCCAACTCACCGAGGGCTGCACATTTAATTCAGTTGCATCCTCGATATTTACATTTAAATTATGGGCTCTGCTGCAGATGTAATCAAACATGTTTTATACAATACAATACAACAAGGACAACAATGTTCCAAAAATCAAAAAGAAACAAGGTACACTCACTCGACCGAAAATAAACAATTGACATTGCAAAAACCCCAAAACACTGGCTCTGAAACCCGCCCAAAAAACGACATTCATCAGACTCAACTAATCTCCAAATATTTTAGTTTTATTATTACTTTGTAAACACTTTGACTTCGTGACAAAATCATAAATCAGATCACAACAAGAATGCAAACAAATCTGTGGGTTTTATCACGTCAACTTTTCCTGTTCCATGAAAAAAATTTATATACAGGCAGAGAGAGAGAGAGAGAGAGAGAGAGAGAGAGAGAGAGAGAGAGAGAGATTTTATGGGGTCTTCTCTATAAAAAGACTCACA